CCAACTAATGATGACAACCTTTGGCTATGATTTAGGTTTCCTCATGTATCCAACCTTTGTGTCCTACTGTATCGACAGTCACAATAACGCATTATGTTCGAGATGGAAAATCGGCAGCACCTGCATTTCCCGAATGCATCGACCATACTTGAAGTCAGTCTAATCCAACACTCATTTCCTAAAGGTGGCTAAGTTATTATCCACGTAAGTCATTGACATTTTTTGCCCCAAGACTAACAATTATCCTAGGGATCATGAAATATCAAGTTAATTATTTGTGCAACATTTCTCTTTTATCTAACTCGTGTACAGTAACAGTGTCCCAACCGCCATTGAGGCAAGCATCAAAAGATCTGTGTGCGATACGCATAGAAGGCACCCTAATCAGGAGGTATTGCAAGATCTCAATATGTTATCCAACCACCTTCTCACCGATCTCGGTTGCCCTTACTCTCCTTCGCCCTGTGGCAAGGAGCTGACCTGGACTGGCGATGGTGTGAAGTCAGACGTTGTGGCTCGTTCCACCCATTATCTGTTGCGTCAAATGTTGAGTCGGTGGAGGGGGCAGGTTCCTGGGAGGTTGTACCCCTCATCGGTTCTAAGGCAACCCCGAATCGAAATCCTTCTTGAGAGTCTTCCAAGCTGACACCTTAGGGAACATCAACCAGATCTCAGCATATTGTGACACACTAACCTCACGCCCTATGCTACTTTCCTTTCAGAGGCCAATTCGAATGCACGAGGGCCCAAAAAGTACGTGATAAGGATTTTTGGGGAAAAATGGTGTTGGAGTTTTAGGTCGGAACTGGAATCTGTGGTAGCAGTTTCTATATGAAGAGGATGAATATGGAATGGTGGGCTGACAATGTGTCTTTAATTCAAAAAGTACTCATGAAGCTCCTCTCGAGTCTTTCGACGTCTTTTATTGGGGTGAAAAGGTGTGCGAGTGAACGAGGGATCCTGATAACGAACATGTTTTGCAGAGCTGAGAATCGCGTGGCTCCTTTCGTTACCCCCGAGTCTCTATTGATACATAGTTGAAACCTCTTTCCGTTAAACCGTCGCCAGTTGAAACTAAGATGGACCGAAAGACTTTTTTTTATAATCGACGGTCCACCTACCGGTAGTACAGTTTGGGGTCTACCGGAAGAAGAAAGTGGGGCCTCACTGCAACTGGAAAGTGTTGTTTCAGGCGTTGGGATGTAAGTTCACAATTCGTTACATTCGCGCCAAACCATCTTCATACTTTGTAATTTTTATTTTGTTTGCTGTTTTTTTTTTATATTTTTTTTTCGTTGTTATTTATTTTTTTTTAATGTTTTTGGTTCGAAATCCCGTAGCATAGCCCGCATGGAAACCCATCGTCGCTACTTTGTGATCAATCTAGCAAAGGACCTCGCTTCTCTCTCTCACTCTCTCTCTATAAAAAAAAAACAAAAAACAAAAAAAAGTCGCAGTGCATATTTTCATGTTCTAGCAGTAGATTCATTCCATTTTGCTCATCCTATCAATGGAAGAACAATGAGGCCAACCGCTAGGTTAGAGACTTATTTGTTCTTTCTATCTTTCTCTCTCTCCCCCCCACACACACATGTGCACACATACACAAGTGTGGTAGTGCATATTCCATGTTCTCGCGGAAGATTCATTCGATGTTGCTCATCCTATCGATGGAAGTAGCGTGAGGCCAACCACAGGGTTTGAGACTTACTTGTTGCCCAGTATGTCCATATTCTAGCAGTAGATTCATTCGATTTTGCTCATCCTATCGATGCACATACCACGAGACCAGCCGCGAGGTTGGAAACTTACATGTTTTTTTCATTCTCTCTCTCTCTCTCTCTCTCTCTCTCTCTCTTTCTCTCTCTCACCCTCGATGTCGAAACGACATCTGCCACACTGGATATTCCCTACCAACATGGAAACATACGTCAACAATAACCCACCCGTCCATTCTCAAGCGTTTATTATTATTTTTTCTCATCTTTCGCCATCTAACCCACTGAAAGTTGCAAAGTCGGACCTCAGAAGATGCACAACTGTCGTTTCGACCCCGACCACCTCCCTCTGTAGGAGCAAGCAACACTGTCGGGAACAATCCCACCGAAAAAACAAACGGTCACCGCCTTACCGTTTTCTCTGCCCCCAACTCTTCTAGAATCCTAGTTTAGACTGACGGGGCTAGCGGTGGTTTAAATACTATAGTTGTCGGCAATCCGACCACTACGTACCACGCCAATGACGAGCGATGATAAGCCAGAGGATGACAATCAACTTATTAAACCACCAACTGACATGAACCTAAATTGACGAACCAAAAGTTGCATCTTTTTTAGTCAGACTGCTACAGTAACAAGATGAAAAAAATATCTCGACGTACTAAAAACATTGCAACGTTTATTGGTACTAAGCTACCTTCAAACTCAAGTGTTGTACCTCGTGCCATCAAATGGCACAAAAAAAACAAACAACAAAGAAAAAATAAAATAAAATCATATCAATGGTGAACAAAGGTGATTATCGTTTCATGAACGGAAAAAAATAAAAAGATGTGGGGGAAGGCATCTTACTTAGGGCATACTCATATTAGTGTTTTCCATAATGTATATGACCACTATCACGACCATTTTTTTTTTTTTTCATTTTTTAATCCTGCAAATAAGGCAAAGTGCATTCCACATTTTCAAGAAAGGCCCTTACTGAGGGCAATACTCACACTAATACTTTCCAATGTTCCATAATGTATCTGACTGCTATCACAACCATATATTTCATTCCTTTATTTTATTTTTTTCATTTTGCTTCTTTCCTCTTATTCACATTCTTCAGAATACCCTCACGCAGCACATACCCACACTACTGCTTTTCATAATATATCGAATGGATATCGCGTTCAAATTGACCTTTGTTTTTTGTTTTTTTATCTTGTTACTATCTAATATTAGGTGCCCCACCAACAAGGCAGGACGTTTAAGCATATAGTGAAGTCAAACCCAATTTCTCATTTGTTTTTTCCCCCCTCTCTATTTCGCTTTTAATATTTTTTTATTTGGTCCATCAACCTTTTTCCTCCGAACCTGCTTTGGGACGGATCACTGTTCATTTTCTCATGGTCGTCGTAAACTACATTTTGGTGAAAGGAAGGGGTTGTTGAACTGATGGTTTAAAAGGCAACAAAACCAAAAAATCAAAGAAATATTGTTTCGACAATCATAAAAAAATTGACCATTGACCCTCGAGAGGAAATTGGATAAGGCCGTGCAATCTTTACCATAACCTCATGTACATAGGATGACGTCTATTTATCGTTGTCCGTGGTGGAATGACACCCGGATGAATTAATCCCTAAGAATTACCTTGCATTGTTGTAAATAATTGAAATATTCGGGTTTGCTTTGGTTTCCACTATAAAAAAATAGGGGCATGCTCACAACAATGACCCTTTTGTGAATGAAAGTTTTGAGATGTTGAATATGAATGCGACCAACTCGGCTTGTCATAAAACGATCAATTTTGATTAATCGTGTAACACATAAAGTGAAACGTTCATTATCCGTCGGATTGTAATCGTGTTCCTCTTGATATGTCACTCAAGATGGAGAGTTTCAATCTCGCATAGAACGATAACTTGAACAACAAGAGATATAGAAACTCGCAAGGATTATCCGACAAACCTCTACGCCACAGGAAAAGTTTATGAAGATCAAGGTTCCTCTATTCGATGAGAGAAGGTTAACGAAGACCCTAATTTTCATACCACTTGCCATGCTATTTATATGAAAACCAAATGATCATTTTAATCAAACTTGCCACCAATTCGTAGAGTGGAGACCATACTAACTGCAAAAAAAAATCCAAAAATAAAAAATAAAAAACATATAAAACAGCAAGGCAAAAGTGCATTTTCATAAAATATCGCCAACATCTCAATTTAAGAAATCTTGAGAAATTCCAGAAATCTTAACAGAGGAAATTCCAATTCTCCAAATGACACAAAATTTGGCACATACCAACCTTGAACAAAAACAAGTACAGACAAAAAAATAATAATAAAAAATTAAAAATTAAAAAAAATTGACCCCAAAACCCTAATTTCAGTTTTGGACTTGTTACCCAGGGCCTGAAAATGCGGGTCCCCATTAACCATTTGTGTATTCGATGGGGAAAATGTTACGGACTGATTAGAAAAGTACGAGTTGAATGCACACGTGCGTCCGTGGACTGAATGAAAGATTTTGAAAGTAATAAAGTGGTATGTGCACATTGATCTTGGTGAGGAAGTGAGGGAAATGATACGTAGGGCACGAATCTGAAAGACATTTCGTGAACGAATATTGAAAAAGTACCTGTTGGGAGATAAATTATTGGATGTTTCTGACCTCCGTAAGGTAAGTTAGAAAAAAATTGGCACGATCGAAGGGTTTCTGAAGAAATTTTAGGTAGCTATGATAATTTTCGATCTCCCTGATAAGACCAAATGCTTCTGACAAACTTCACTGAAGTTGAGCAGAAGGAGTTGATGAAAGGTTGTACTACTGGGTATAACTGAGAGAGGATTAAGGAAAATTTTAAAGTTGACGCCTTCAATCAAATGTTTTATCACCTCCTCCGGAGGCAAAAAAAAACATAGGAGGACGAGTTGGTGAGTAACGATAAGGATAAAGAGATGTTCGGGACGGTCATAGACATTAGTATCATGATGAAAGAAATAAGGGAGGATAAATTGTGCGGTAAGGTAACCGTTTTGACAGTAAGGCAACAAGGTGGGAAGAGAAAAGGAAAGGAACGGGTCGAAGTATCTAATGAAGTAGTAAAAAAGAGGAAGAAGAAGGACCTCCTCGAAAAGAACGAAGGCCGAACGAAAGGTCATGAAGCAAATGAAAGGGGGGGGGGAAGACGGCAAAGGACAAATCGAAAGCAACCTAAGAATAAGGTCAGTCAAGAGAATGACGATTATGATATCATCACCCGGCCTTAGAGGCAGCCGCATGACACTAAGCCTCGACAATTCCGCCCGCACGACGGAGGAGGTCGTGGGCAGGACAACGACTTATGGTGGTAGCGGTAACGGCAGTAGGGATTGGAATTGCAACTACTGCACTCAATAGAAACACGGTGTTTGATATTGTCATATCCTCGCTAAGAACTAGGAAGATCGGGGACTGTACATGAACATTCGAGGGAAGGTTTTTTATTTCGAAAGAAACGTCATTGATTGGTATATAGGAGAATGGATTGGAACATAAGCATTTCGACGCATGAATCGGACCATGCCCTGCATTTAACAGTTCGCCTCGAAAGAAGAAGTAGAGGTACATGAGTTGAAACAAGCTATGCACCGAGTAAGCTTGAGTGAGTATGAAGTTAGTATGGGGAAAACCGATAAAGGAAAAGAAGGAAGTATTGCGAAAAACTTCCAAGCTCGAGAATCCATTCAAAGGCGTGTAGAGACCGGGTTGCAATATTGTGTCTCAACATGGAAGAAGTTTGGCCAAATATACCAAATGTGTTCTTGCTTGGTGGATACGACGAAGGAAGGCGCCCAACTCCTGTGGCGGCATCTCTGTCTGCGTCACGTGCAGGGAGGGCGTCGTCATCCTACCTACAAGGGGCCTTGACAGAGACACGTTCCATCTTAAACAGATCTATCTTCTGATGGGGATTATCACATGTAGTCCCTCAAGCACAAAATATTAAGAAGGGACCTCAATCGCAAACCGCGTCTGCCGTCGGTGCAAAGGGGCAACATGACGCGCCAGTATTGACCGTGGAAAAGAACACAGACACGAAAAATGAAAAATTTAGGACGTAAGATGAGCGTCAGATGAAGTTACGTGCCCAAAAGCGAGACTTAGATGAAAATCAAAGTAAGGAAAAAATCGAGGGAGGATAAAAAAAAAAAAAAAAAAAAACATACGATTTCGATCGAGGAAGGAATCGACTTCTAAGAAATGGTGGATCAGATACTCGAAATTCATCGAGATTTCGTACTACTCAAGAAATTATTGGTGGCTTCGCCAAAAATTCGGGTAGAGTTTAACCAGAGATTGACTCGATGAAAGGTGATGACAGTTAAATTAGTAGAGGTTATTCCTCCTGAAGCGAACTAGGTGACTCACAGTGTCCCGCGCTCATTGACACGAAAGCTGAGATGACCATATTACTAGAAAAGGAGGTGCTGGAGTTAGGAATTGAGATCAATCGCACGAATAATAAATTTCCAATTTGTGCGGGAGGATCGACAACCTTCAATGGGACTGCCAATGATGTGGTTATATAAATCGGTACGTGTTACCACTTATTGAGCACTCGTTGAGCATGCTATAATGTTGGGACGATTGTTCCTGTGACAATCTGAGTCCATCATCATTAATAAGCACAATGAGACCATGTTCATAATATTGTGTGATTTGGTGTATGTGCACTTCAAAATAATTAAGTGCTCCAACACTGGACCTAAGAATCTAAGGAACATGTTAAATCCAAAATCCTATAGCTTCAAGGAGGCGGAACAATTGGTAAAAGAGCGACAATTCTGTGGGGAGGACAACGACGAGAACCCCAAGGAGTTTTTCTTAACGCTCTCTCAAACTTTTGACTTCATTTCGATTCAGTCTGAAATTGATCCAAACCTCGTGTAGACGTTAACCGAAATTGTGTTTGAAGGTAGCGGTGTGGGGAGTGTATTCTTAACATACCAATCTAATGTCCATACAGTCGGTGGAGAGGGTGTGATCTTACAGGCCAAGCAGGAGTCTTTTTAATAGGTGGGAGACTTACGGTTGGGATCAAAGCGGCGATACAAGAAAGTAGCCGATAAGGCCCAACATGTGTCGGTCCTCTGGTCACTCAGGACAGAGAAGTGTATTATGAGGAAGAAAGAGAGTGGATTAGGGCGATGAGAGAGAAAAGCGATAAGGAGACGTGTCGTTTAACCAATGAACAAATTAAGGAAATGATCGTTGGAGAAGAAGGGTTATCAAACAAAGAAAAAAATTGCTCTCATGATCAGCGTCATGAAGGGACAACACTTGGCGTATGTCTTTATTGACGATCAAAGAGGGAGACTAGACGTTGATAAAATCCTGATGATAAAAGATATACGGTACTGCACCAACCTTGAAATATAAGAGGACCGCATTACTCTAACCCTGATGACAATCGGAAGATTGTTGATTACCTAGATGGAAAGATTAGGGTGAAGGTGATCAATTATACCTATAGACCGTATGCGCCACTGTGATTTACAAAAGTTAAATGCGGTGACAATTTAAATCACCGGTCCCCCCGACGTCAGAAACCTCGGGGGTACCGGTAGCGCCATTTCACGACGGGTACCGGTAGTACAGCGTGGAAAACCGGGCGGGCCTCTATACGAAATTTGCGACAAAAATTGAAAATAAACCGAATCGGCGCGACAAATATTTCGCCGTCAAAATGATTTATTTTTTTTCTGATATTTTTCCCTGAAAAATCATGACCTAACATACGGACCCTCAAATTTTCAGACATTTTTATGATTTCTCCTTAGCACAAAAAATCGACAAAGTTGCCGTTTGCAAAATGGCGGGATTGGACCTGTCGGCGTCCGTACAACCCGGCGCCTCCGTACGGTCGCCGCCCCTCCGTACAACCCGTCCCTAACTCACAGGGACTAGGGTTTTCGGTGGCGGGGGGACCGGTGGTTTAAGATGCAGGTGAGTTTTCAAGCGCGGATCACCTATCTGAGGCTAGCGTTGAAAGACCCATCATCACATTGATTAATCTTTATATTATGACTATGACCAGTTCTCCTTGTACATGATTGATAAACTCATGACGACAATGCAAACGCCTAGGGGACTGATTCACATGTGTTCCGCGCCTCAAGTTTGACCAATGTCGTCGCGATTATGCAGCGGTATATGATGAAGGTTATTCAACCGTTTTGTTCAGACGTGACCTCGCCATATATTGATGATTCATCGATTTCGAGACCATGGGATAAAAATGAATTCGATGTGTAACCGGTCATGAGTAAATTCGTTCGGGACTACATTTGCAACATCAAGAAGGTTATGGTGAAGTCAAAAGGGTACAACCTTACGACTAGCGGAGTGAAATTTAAACATTGAATGCATAAAACTAAAATCGTGGGGTTTCTGTGCGACGAGAAAAGTCGTTGTCCGGATACCAAGAAAACGAATAAGATCTTAGAATGACCTACTCCACTAGAGTCCGTTAGTGAAATAAGGAGTTTTCTCGGGACTTGTAGGTTTTAGCGGGTCTTTATCCGATGTTTTGTTGCAAAGGTAGAATAGTTACGCAAACTTGTGTTAAACGACAACGATTGGGAATGAGAAACGGACCAACAGAAAACAATCCACGATATAAAGGCTGAAGTCCACGAAGGAGAAATGATGCTCGAGGTTTCGTGTGTTAACAATGCCTAAACGTTCCTTTGTAATCGAGACCGATGCTGGACCTATGTAGCGGACCTCGGGTTGGCCTGTGAGACCAGCCCCTTGGCCTGTTCTCACAGGCCTGTGTTATATTCGGGGTAGGCCAGTCCAGGCCGGTACCTCTGTCGGTACCAGCCAGTCCAGTCCAGTCYCGTYAGTCCGTTGGGGTATACCCTAGCCATTGTCTGTTTTCATTCTCATTCCTCACTTGCACATTTTGAAGTACGTGCGTTGGAGTCTTGCTTGGGGAGTTGCGTTGTGCCATCTTGCTCTCCCTTCTTCCTCCATCTCCATCTCTGTCACTAACGGAGCACCACACCTGGTGGGTCCGCTACAATGGTATCGGAGCGGGAACGGTCCCCACCCCCACCCACCACATTGCACAGCAGGGAAATACGGCTGTTTTTGGGGCGTTTCCGGGCAAAAAAGCGAGAAAACATCGAAAAAAGGTGCTGCAACAGGAGAACTCCACGTGGCGAAAAAGGAAGCCACATCACGACGCGTGCGTGCAAGCGCCAAGGCCAAGGCCGCCGCACGCGCGGACGCTGCCCCGCTGCCCCGCCCCGCCCCGCTCCTGGATTTATATTATCAAGATCTGGGATGCAACTGCTGCTGCTGGGGTTTGAACCCAGGCACTTGCCGAGCCATGCGCGTGCGTAAGCAGCCTCATAACACACTCGCCACAGTGTATCCATGGTTTTGTAACACGGCACACTCGTGTTGAAGAGGTGCCGTGCTGGCTATTTACACCCCCCGGGCAGCGAGCAGTGCGCAGCAGCGAAGTTGCTATTTACCCCCCTCGTGGCTGCTGCTGCCTGTGCACGTGGCCATCTCATGTGGCTGAAGACCCTCCTGCTTAGGGGGCTGCTCTACAGTGGAGAGGGTCTGCTCACACAGCAGACCCTACATCTACACATCTGCAGAAGTGCTGCTGGGGGCTGACCAAGATCTCAGCCCCTTCTCTCCTCCAACTGGCTGCTGCAGCTAAGACCAAGACCCTCCTGGTCTTGATGTACCTTGTGCCCTTGGAGACACCAAGGGCCAGGTATCACTCCCTTCTCCCCTCTCCCTCTACTAACCCACTCTCCCTACCTCTCCTCTCTCCTTTTACTCACCCCTTCTCTTTCCCCCACCTTCCACTGCATCTTTTCTCTCCTCCTTTTATCTTCCCCACCCCACTTTTCTCCCAACACCCATTCTTTTACTCTTCTTCTTTTATTTATTTCTTTTCTTCCTCCTTTTCTCTTTGCTTCTTGATCCCTGTCCACCTTTTCCCATCCCTCCTCTCCCCCAACTACCACCACCCCATCCCCCTACCTCCCACTTCATCTTTTTCTTTCCCCCCACCTATTTCTTTCTTTTCTCCCTCACTTTTCATTCTCCTTCCCCCCTACTTGGAAAATTTCTCTGTTTTTCTTCTTTCCACCTCTCTTTTAATTTATCTTTTCTCTTTTTTCAAAAAATCGAAATATCTTCATTCCCACCTTTTTTTCTTATTTATGATTTATTTAATTTATTTTAAAAAATTTGATTTTCTCTATGGCAACCCTAAATCTGATTAGTTGTTAGTTTTCTCATCTTCTTCCCCACCCTCTTTTCTTATTTTTTTGATTTATTTTATTTATTTTTCCTTATTCTGAAAATTCTTGGCGGCAACCCTAAATCTGATTAGGTGTTAGCCTTTCTTGCTTTCGACACACGTTTTGACCTCGTGGGGGTAACG